GGGGGGGGGGAACGAATCAGACTTTCTTTCAACTCTTTTTCATGCTGAAGCAACTATGGGCATAAGGCTTGATATAAAAAGCTGTCACCCCTGAAGGAAATCATTCTAAGGCCGGATTACTATTAGGTTGACCGGAAAATTTTCCCCACGCGTTTGATCGCACCATATTAGCTTTTTTTGTATGTTTATGACTTATCTTAGGGAGTGCATGAAGCACGCAAGAGACTCTTTCACATCACTACCTCACACTTACACAGACTGCATTTGGATTCCGAAATGCCGCACAAGTTTCAACCCAACAGGATGCACCTGAGGCACTGCCTTTTTTTCCTTCATCAGTCTGGCTTAAACGCAAAGGAGCCCAAGCCAAGATGGTGGATACTATGGCGCTGACGGTATCTCTTACGACACGTGCAGGATCTGGATGGCCAAATTCAAGAAAGAAGATTTTCTCTCCAAAATGCTCCAAAGTCCGGCCGGCCGATTTAGTTAGACTCGAAGTTGCTGCAATCCGCAGTGGAAGAAGATCCGTACGCCACTACCTGCGAACTTGCAGCGGTGCTGGCCATGCCCAATCAACTGCTGAATCTGGTTTGGAGAAGTCTGGTAAAGTCGCAAAGCTTGACCGTTGGATTCCTCACCAAATTCAATGGTGGGAGACTTTCCTGTCAACCTAATAGATTAATGACTAGATGAAGGGTTTAGGCGATACCCTTCCCAACATTCGATCCCTTAACTCCACGCCCTGCTGTGAAGGGCTGGTAGGACGCGAACAAGAAGGACATTGCTGAAGTCGAGATGACTGCAGAAGATACTGATCGTGAGAAGAGAAGGAAATGGAGATGACCAACCAGAACAGTATTCAAAAGCCTTTCAACGGCGCGAGATCAACGCTAGGGTCAAAAACGGAGAATTCATCGAAATTACATGCGCCTTTGCGCCCCGTTTTGAAGCAATTCGTTCGAAATAAAACAACAAACATTATGTCCGAATTATTCAAAAAATTGTATAGACGTTCAATGTCCATACAGAAACCGAAGACCAGGTCATATGATATCGAGTTTTTGACTACCAAAATGATATAATCCTAATTTGCCAACATTTTATGAACTCGACTCTCAATGTGAGGGGTGCAAAAACAGCCGAAAAGATGAGGGAGGGGGGAGGATGGGCGGTTTCCTGGGAGTGTGAAGCCTGGAAGCTCCTCCACTGATAGTGCTCCACACATACAGTAGTGCTCAAAAGTATTCGGCCAATTTTAACTTGCTGTAACATTTTTCCCAGTGGAGCAAATCACATGAGATTTCGATATGTTTAGCTGAAGCATATTCACACTGTCCAACACTACTTGACTGCAAAACGGCCATATCCACATAATAATGGGGAGGCGTTTTTAGACTGTGCTGAAAGCAAGTTTGTGACGTCTGCAGTTATCCAGACCTTATGCACGTTTTTCTTCTCTTCTGGGTTCGACATTAGCGCTCGTACACTTAAGACATGACAAAAAGGAAAGGCTCCTAGAAGGACCACCATCCACATTCCCAGTTCGTTTTTTGTTCAGACCCTTTTGGATATCTGGAACATGGTCAGATTGCAGGTTAATAGTGCTAAATATTCACATTACCAATGCTACACATAATGGAATTTCGCCTGATTAGATCCAGTAGGAAAGGAGTTATGACTGGAAAGTACGAGTGAAGAAGCATTCGGCCGAATACTGTTGAGCGCTACTGTACATTCTAACGACTTGTAGAGGTTATCGCTGCTCCTGGTCACGACCATGACCAGTCAGGTACTTGCTTTGGCCCTGGTGAATATGGAACCCATCTGGAGGTGGCAGCATAAAACGCAAAAACGGTGAAGCCTCGGATCCGAACCGAGTCGTCCCTAGCCGAAGGCCACATCACTATGCGCCACGCCATCCGTCGCTGCTAGCAGCTCAACCGTGGAGAGCACATAAGAAACTTCCCNAGCTCCTTTTTGGCTACAGTTCACGTTATTTACAATACCTAGTCTACTGGCACGTTCTACTGTGCGGATAGTCGACGCCACGAATGAAACAAACGAGGCTCACTGGGTTAAAACGGCAATTTCTGACAAAATCATTTTCCTTCTCATTTGGCATTCAGAAGGCATTAGCGGAAATGGACCACAGTTCTGTACTCAGTGCTTATGTGCATCATGCAAAAAACCGAAAGACCTTTGCTTAGAGTGCTGGAAATTCTCGACAGACAGTTGAGAGAACCACGGTATTCTAAATATTATCGCCAGTGATTTCAGAGCCAAGATTGGAAACCAAGAGTCGAAGAGTGGCTGAAGAGGGGCATTTCGGAACTCAAGGAACAGCATGGAATGAGCAAAGTGAAGGACTGGTCCAGTTCAACATGTCGTCGCACACTAGCGATGGCAAAAATCTTGGCTTTAGAAATCATTATCGGTGGACTTCGTAGTCACAAACAAAGTAGCTGCACAATGTGCGCTGAAACAGTTGCTCTTATTTCTGCATTAGTGTGATAATCGCAATAATCGTCTTCTTCCAGATTCCAAACTCTTCAAGACGTAGAGAAAAAGGTATCGCCGTTCTTGAGAGTAAAACTTCAATACCATAACCGGTGAGATTACTTTACACCTTCTGCAAACTTGTGGAAAGCTTCATCTATGACGTCTTCTCTGATACTTTCAGTAGATTTATCTGCCCACCTACCAACCTTATGAGGCAGGACGGATATGTCTTTCCATCAACTCTCCCGAAATTCAGCATGCCATCTCGCCAATGGAGAATCCAATGGATTGCTGAGCTCCAGGAGGGCAAATCCAAAAAAATTCAGAGAGTCTAATTTCAGTAATCAACGGAATACTGGCTTGAACCGTCACGCGAGGTTTGCAAGCATGCAAGTCTCCCATCCCACGGAATCTGGAGGACTGTTTTGCTATACAAAAAGGACCAGTAGATAGATTCCGGCAACTATCACCCAATGTGCCTGTCGTCTATATTTTACGAGCCCTACGCAAGAGCCAAGTTTAGCAGTGCTGGCAGAATGGTAGATGAAGAGCAGTCATGTGAACAAGTGGAGTTCCGGAAGAGATTGGCAAGGCTCGATGGAGTATTTCATAGTACAACATGCTGTTAAGTATTACGTTAATGAATATGAAAAATTATTCAAGTTTGTTGACGCAAAGACGGTTAGCGAAACATTAGTCGATAGGAGTATACATTCAATATGTGGGATTGTTTTTTGGACTTTAAACAACTTTTTCCCACATAATCTCATCATTTCACAGATGATCATCCACAGCGTAAAGAAGGAGGTTAAGCAACATCATTGCAGACATCACGTATCATCCAGAACGTGAGGACAGGAGGGTCACTCGCAAAACCTTCACTTTTTACTCCCCGGTGTGCTTATAACATCGAGTATCGTGTAGACACAGTGAATGCTGACAGAATTCGACGTTTGGGAAGATCGATACAAATGAATTAAACGGGGAACGCTCACTAGAAGCAGATTGGTTCTTGGTGCACCTACTATGAACCTCTCAGAATGGTCTAACGACGCAGACCTGGATGGACTTAGGTCCGGAAAGATCAGAGCATGTGAAGCATCGAAGAATGTTGTAGCTCGTTGTAATCGCAGTCCTTTGGTCGCAGTGAAGAGTAGATCCAATGCAAAGAGGGAGATAGCGAGGTTCGAAGCTAATGCAGTGAAAACGAAGGGTATCTGATCAGGTCACATTCCAATGTCAAGCAGAAGAAATATTGCGCGAAAACTGAGCCCAAACATTCACTCTAATGGACTACAGCTAATCGCGCGTGAAATTACTCGGTCCACAACAAACATCTTCGAGGGTGGGGCAAAAAAGAGGAAAAAGCGTTCTTTCAATGAACAAATACTCGTCAAGGAATGGAGGATCAGGTAAGCAGAATATCTCTCGCAATTTTGTGATGAGCATCAGTCGACGGCACCTAATGATGGGATCGCTGGATGGGTTTCAAAAGAACAAAAAGGCGGCCTTCAACTATTAGCCAGAACTCTTCACGAAAGCTCAGAAGAAAAAATGGTGTACCTCGTGTCCCTCGAGATCGTAATTTGAACACATGGCTCGTGAAAGGACAATTAGAGACATTAATGGGCCTCGCTTAAAAAATGGGACGACGTGTGATTCAGGACAGAAGATGTATAACGTTTCAAGTCTCTAACTTTTTGCGGACTTGTTATTTTGCGAAGTACGTGACGTCCTCTTTGTTTTCCGTTTACTTCTCTTCTCATCAAGATAAAGCGCTTCGAGTAGGAGTTGCATGGTGGTCGTAGTAGTGGAACTGGCCGTCGTATGAGAACTGTAAATTCGAATAGTTGAACAGAAAAAGTAATTAGGCTATAGAAATGAGCAAAGGCTTGAATAAGCTCACCTCGACCGCTTCGTCATTTTCTGCAATCTAAATTCAAGAAATCAGTATGGACGACTGAGCTTACTCCTGGCAGTAAGAAACAGAAGAAAAAATGAGGACTTAAGAATATTTTCTATTTGGGCGAGCACTACCAAGGCAACTACATTACGAACCAATCTAAACTAATAGAAGCCTTGATGCATATCAGAGTGCTCATGATCTTTATAATAATCTCCTGTTGGAGAGATCTCCCTCCATTGACCCTACCCTATCACAGCGTCTTTTCTTCTGATCTCTACTGATCGTGTGATTAAATGATCAACCTACCCTAGTACAGACTCGACTGGGTCTAAATGGAAAACATATACCTTTAAACTATACTATATGCTTGGTATTGACTATACAGGATGCGCCATAAATATGGTAACAACTTTTCTGACGTCCGTAATGTCCTTGTTTGGAGGGTTTCTCGACATACGTACCTTTCCTTATGTTTAGGATATACCTTATCCCACATATCTACTTTGGTGCTCTCAATTCGCCAGATTCCGAAAAAAGGTGCAGTCTCGCAGACATCAACCAACCGTTCCGTCTAAGCACGTATTTGTTGAGTTCTTTTTCGGGTTCGCTACTCGTTTCAATAATCTCCACATGGCTTTTTTTCCGAATAGAATTGCTTGGGAAGGATTATGCTGCTTAACCTGCACAAACGCGAGAGGAATGACTGCTAGTTTGTTTGTATGTTCTACTCTGATGAGGAGAGTCTACCCCAAGTAAACACAAATAAATTCAGATAGGATTCCGAAGTGTTATAGGCTTCTTGACGAGAAGAAATTGAAGAGAAAAAACAAATGCCGTGCGCTACTTGCACGGGGCACGCGCTTTGACAGACTTTTCTGACTGAGGGGTGCTCAGCGTGGAAGAAATGTTAAGAACTTAGAATATACATTTTTCACAATACGAGTGCTGAAGCCGTGGAAAAGAGTCAGATTGCCCCTCATAGCCATTATCCCTTTTCCATAATCGATTTTGCTAAAATCTGTACCATCACGGCGACATCGCACAAATTTTGGTCGAGAAATGTGCAAACTTAATTCAGACCTCTTTGAAAAGTTTTTCCGGAAGGATACATCTGAGGGTCAAAGATTTTCCTAGAAGTAAGATTTGAAAATTGCGACGCACTTGCTAACGAATGAGAAAAGATTAAGATTGGTGCTGAGGAAAGGTTCGCGACTTCATACCAGCTTGCAGTTTTCCTACGAATTTCCTGGATCACAGTGCGATGGGTCG